AAGCGGCCCATCAGCAGCCATTGATCGATTCAATCAGCGGCGCAGCACGCAGAAACACGACATATGCGCTCAAGATCGTTCAACGCTTCTCAAACATGACAGCAGAGACAATGAGACTGTGTGGTGAAAGACAGGACAAAAAAAGCGCCAGTTCCTGCCTCGTATACCCTGATTAACGGCCCGGAGAATAAAACACTGATAATAAGGAAAGAAAGAATACCTTTTCTTTGTCTCTCATGGATCCCTTTCCGAGGATGGACATCTTGGTCAGTGTGTCCTCTTGCAGTCTCTTTAATGAGTTCCCTCGAGGGCCCAGGAGTTTACCCACAAAATTAAACTAATAAAGAGAAAAAGAAAAAAAGAGTTTTACTGGCATAGTTCTGTCTTCTAATTACTATTCCCTAATACTTAAGTTATGCAAAATTACATGGAAAGTATTTCTACTGCAAAAGCAGTTAAACATTTATCAAAGCCACACACTGGTATATTAAATACAGTATTTTTCTTGCCCACATCAGCCAATTAAACAGCACTGCTTTCATTTCCATTACCAATGATTTTTTTTTCTGGTCATGCATGCTTTAATGATCAAATATTTCACTAAGACACTGTACGTGCTTTTTTGTTCAAACTATGAATTAGTAATTTGAACTTTAAATGAGAAAGAGACATCACATACATTTTTATATAATGGATGGCACTTTTCATTGAATTTTGATTTTATAGTCAGCTATAATTTTTGAATTATTTTATTAATATTAAATTACTTTTAACTGACTCACATTTTCAAATGAATTACATGATATAGAGGTGAATTATTCACAATTAATTGCATATATCAATATTTACTTAGCAAAGATAATTCAGAGACATTGACAATAGGCAAAAAGAAGCTTTAAAAGCCAATATATTGTTTGTTTTATTTCCATATGACTGAATATAAGCCCATCACTAATGTCCAAAACAAATAAAAAATGTATTCAATTTTTTATATATAATTAATAGTGTTTTTAAATTGTTCAATGTATGTGCTACATTTCCAGCTCTAGCCAAAACCACAACGTTCCTCTTGACAGAACTGCATCTGTGAAAGACGCTTTACTGAACCACAAGAGCCCCTATCTCAAGATCTAAGGGGCCGTTTACACGACAACGTTTTCAGCCAAAAACAGGAATCTTTTTATGCGTTATGCCTGTTTGTTTACATGACAACGGCACTTTGGGGACTGAAAACGCATATTTTTGAAAACGGGTTTCAAAGTGCAAGTTTTTAAAAACGCCACCGTTATCGTTTCCCTGTAAACACCCAATACGGGAATCTTTGAAAACAGTGACGTCATGCGAGTGCGTAGTACGTGTTAGGCTTGTATTTTAAAGGCAAGCGCGAACAAACATACACAACAATGGCGTAGTACATGGTACAGTTGTTGCCGTTTAAGATTCTGTTAACGCTTCTTCAGCAAAGTGTGGATTTACTTCACCAATATTACAACCAACAGCGGAGACGCATCATATACAACATATAATTGTCACTTCCCTACAGGTACTGTTCACTAACAAGGTGACAGCGCCAACTAGTGGTCTGGCATACGTAATACAGCGTTTTTGGCCGTTTTCGCGGATATGTGTAAACGCGAATCATTTTAAAAACGTTGTCGTGTATACGTGAAACTTTTTAAAAACGCAAGGGAAAAACTTTTCTGTTTCTGACTACATCGTTGTCGTGTAAACATAGCCTAAAACACACACTGTTTTGTGTCACATTCAGATGGAAACAGGTGGCAAGGATCAAAGAAAGACAGGAGAGAAGAAAGAGAAAGAAAGGAAGAAGAATCATCCCAGGGAGACCAAAGGATGACAAAAGAAAGAGGAAGTGTAAAGGCTGAGGAGGTGAGATGCTTTCTCTGCTGTTCTTGTTAAAACTCTTCACCTGCGCCTGCTGTCCAGGCTTGTTAGCGATCTCACCGCTGAACCCAGAGCGGAAGATCAAACCCTGCCACCCATGAAGACCTCTGAGAAAGCCACAGACACAATCGCAGCACTCAGGTGACACGTTCTCAAACTTTCCCGGCTTCTTTTTATTCAAAACAGAAAGGCTTGACTGAATCTGACAGCAAAATTCGACACCCAGAATTAGCAGAAAGCGCGAAGCGGGTACATCTCAGTACCTCTACATACTAAAAGCATGTTTTACTCATGTTTTACATCCTTTACTCCCCCTCATGTCATTCCAAACCTGTATGACGTTCTTTTGTCTGTACATCTGAACATATTTCGTGAAAAACTTTGGTAACCAAACAGTCCCATTGACTTCCATAGTATTTTTTGCCCAAACTATGAAAGTCAATGGGACCCGAAACAGTATCCCTTTAGAGTTTCAGAAGAGATCTCAACTGTCTTTTAAAGATATATTAAGTGGTGTGTTTTTCTCAGTAGAAACACCTAAGAAGGAACTTCAGCAAGTTTCCATTAGCTATCAATATAATCTCACTGATTCTAGAAGAAACAACTGAGAAATATTTCATTTGTGGTTTTTCTTTCAGCTATGATTTGAGAACGCACTAATCCTGATACTTTGGGCATAATCATCTCACATACATTTCATTCAAACACCATTACTGAATCTCTGATGCTGGCAAAAATCATTTACATATGCCATATATCCATATACTTCGTAAGAAGCTCTTACTGTATATTATAATTATATAACCTATATCAAACATGAGATGCATTTCAGTTTTATACTTCCATTATGTATCAGTAAGTGTCCTTGCGGTGTGATTGTCAATCCACACATTGGAATTTAAGAGTGCAGTATGTTCTGCTGCTGATGGCTGTTTGTGGAGTTGCTTTCATTAGATGTCTGTTATTTACAGAGGCTTTTGTTTGGCTGTTCTTTAATGGTGTAATCTGATGATATTAAGGCTTGTAAATGACTGCGTGGGCCTTAATCTGGACATTAAACACAACACCGAGCTGCGTGAGGATTTACGGGAAGCTCTAAAGCTCTTAAACACACCCCAACACACACACACACACACACACACACACACATTAGAACACACACTGGCCTCTTCTCACTATGCACAAATATAGAAATGCTGAAATCTACATGCCATGTGTGTTTGCCATGGAGAACACCTGATGAAAAGACAATAAATACATAAACTGTCAATTTAACAAAGGTTTGACACGAAGAGATGGAAAAAAGGTTTATTTCAGAACTGTTTTCAACTTCAACAATCTATAAAGTGAAAAAATGTGTGCTACATTTTTGCATGAGTGAGTGTGAATCATGTTCACACATGGAAAAACCATCAAATTCTCTAAATGCAATTCTACAGGATTTTTTTTTTGTTTGTTTGTTTTTTTTTGTGCATTTATCATCCACAAGGCAAAACTAGTCTCTTAGAAAGGTAGCAGCACAGCTCTCCTCATCAACACATGATTTGAGGTGCGGGATACAAATTTTAATAATTACAAATTAAAAGCCCTAATTATGAGCAATAGTAAAAATGATGCTGGAAGTTTTATTAGTTTTCAAAATGATCTACCCAGCTTCTTGAAAATATTACTGTCTCACGACAAAAAATGGGGGAAGATAATAACCATTATCTGATATAAATGCACAAAATGTGTGCGGCTTTAGGAAAATGCGTGTAGGTTTATGATAAAGGCACAGGCAAAATGGGCTAATAGCTCACAGGCAAAATTTTGACAAAATTTTTGACAAAAACATCCAACCATGACATTCATTATGAATTAATTTTAATTGCAGATTACATCTGGTAATGAGGGCAATTCACCGATCGTTTGGCTGATAGTGTCCTGACGCTGATGTTAAATCACATACGGTATTCACTTAATTTTTCTCAAAAGCTTTAAAAAAGATCTCAGACATCTCAGTGTCACTTATTACACTCGGTTTACTTTATATGGAAATATCCATCTCGCTAATAAAGCTCAGTTTGTTTGGAAAGCACAATAAAGCGTCTGAGAAGACAGCTGCATTCTCTGTTTGAGATGAAACAGTCGGCACATGGAGGGCTTTTCACTTTGGGTCTCACTAAACAGCCTTTACAATGAGACTGACCTCACAGGCAGCTGTCAGAGACAGGCACAATGACTGCAGAGACTGCACATACACTGGGCGAGAAAGACATGAAAAGGATAAAAAGGTTTTGCTAACATTTTCATTTGAAGGAATAATGAACCTAAAAATTTAATGCATGTCATTCTGAACCCATATGCTGTTATTTTCTCCACAGAAAAAGAAAGGATTTCTGAAGAAACCTTACGTGGGTCTACAAAGACAGTTCATAACACCATTGAAAAAGTGTTTTAAAAAGTCAGCTTTATGACTGTACAGTTTTTGTACTGTTCTGAAGTCATTCAATAGATTTGTGTGACAAATAAATCAACATTTAGCTTGTTTTTCCACTGAAAATCGTCCCCTCTTTTGCAGCTCTCAAAGCTGGCATGTCATGTTGTGAATTTGAACCGGACTCAAATGAGGGGCGTTGGAGGGGAAAATTGTCAGTAAATAACCTGTTGTTCACAGAACTGGCTATGAACAACTTGGAATATTTAATTATTTCATTTAGAAGTTTGGGATCAGTAAGATTTTGTTTGTTTGTTTGAAAGAAATGAATAATTTTATTCCATAAGAGCACATTAAAATGATCAAAAGTGACAGTAAATACATTTATAATGTTCCAAAAGATTTCTATTTCAAATAAATGCAGTTCTTTTGAACTTTCTATTCATTAGAATCCAGAAAAAAAGTCACCGTTTCAAATATCGATAATCAAAATGTAATAATATTTCACAATATTACTGTTTTTACTGTATTATTGATCAAATAATTGCAGCTTTGGTGAGACTTTAAAAATGACCTCTAAACGTATAAAAAGTTATTTAGCATCTCAGAACAATAAAACTACTATTTTGTCAATAAAACTACTTTTTTGATTAAAAAAGTACATACACTACAATGGAATGTAAATTATACTATGACACTATCAAAACATTGGCGTTATCAAAGCATTTGTTTAACCATCCTGAGCAAACCTATATTATAGGTCAACCAGTAGTGTGAGTTTGGGGCGGGACTCTCTGTTTGACGGACCAATGGCAGACAGCTGGGAAAAACTGTCTCCTCAGGGCTCAGTACTTGGACCACTTCTCTTCTCTGTCTACAAGGCATCACTAGGTTCTGTCATTCAGAAACATGGCTTTTCATATCACTGCTATGCTGATGACACTCAACTCTACCTCTCATTCCATATATACCTTGCTACGTGTACTGCGTTAGGCTAACCGAGACTTGTCTTGTTG